ACCCGGCGCCGCACCCTTACCTGAGGTGTAAGGTTTTTCAGAACAAGACAGTTTGTTATTCTCCCTGAGCTGCTCTCACCCCAGCTGGAACCTAAGCGAGAGAAAACAGCTCAGCTTTTCCGGACCGCGGCCTGACGGCCGACCACGATCGCTGGGTCCCGGCCGCCTCCCCTCCCAGGCCCCGGGTACCCGCCTGCTCCAGCCTCAACCAGCCACCCCTCCGGCACAGGCGGCTCTGCCCCAAGAGCGGGGCTCAGACTGCTCCCTGCTCACGCCCCCGGGAGCGCTCCCTTGACACAGCTCCAACGGTGCAGCCGGGAGGGGACCGGGCACCCTCCGATGGCCGCTGCCCGGTCCTCGGGGGTAAGGCTGCAGGGCGCCCACGAGGGGGCGCCTGCTCTCACATCCCTCCGTCCCGTCTGGGGGGCTGTCTTCCTGGTGGCCAGTGGCAATCGGTCACTCTCTCGAGCCAAGGAGCTTTTTAAACACGATCAAGTCAAATCCCTTTTATGTTTATTTTTAATTTTTTTTTAAGACGGTCTTAGTGTGTAGTCTAGACCGGCCTTGAATTCGCCACGTAGCCCAGGCTGGCCTCATACTTGCAGCCATCCTCCTGCCTCAGCCTCCTCACTGCTGGGATTACAGGCGAGTGCCACCACACCTGGCCCTCTACCCCTTCATGAAGGTGCCCCAGGAAGCCTGCCCCCTTGGCCCTAACCCAACCCCACCCCACCCCACCTCCCGACCAGCTCTGACGGGAGCCTCCGGAGCCTCCGAGCTCTCTCAGGCCTCTGAGCCTGGCCTCAGCTGCTCCCTCCGCCCATCAGTGTGCATTTCCTGACCGCGCTCCTGCTCACCCGCCCTGCTGAGGGCGGGCTTCTGGGGCCGGCCGGTTACCAGCTCTCTTCACATGAGGAAACCTCGACAATTTGCATTCAGCAGGCTGAACACCCCTGGTGATCCCCATGGTACAAATTTAACTGCAGCCAACCACTTGTCTAAAGGTTAAAACTCACAAGTTAGATCAGAAAATATTTTCTTTTTTTTGGCTTGGTTTTGTTTGCTTTTTAAATATTTAAAAAAGTATTTTACTTTTTTTGGGACAGGGGTCTCACTTTCTAGTTGAATTCACAGCAGTCCTCCTGCTTCAGCCTCCCAAATGCTGGGATTGCAGGTGTGTATTACCACACCTGGCCCCAAACATTTTTTACTAGATCGGAAAGTATTAATGAAGCTTTCTTACTCACTTCCAGCATGGAGAGAGGACGGTTCAGGAGTGTCTGGGGGCAGAGCAGACTGGGAAGACAGACCGTACTTACAGCAGAACTGGCTGAGCGCTGAGTAAATCTAGCGCTGTGTGTCTATGTAGTTGGGGGACAGCAGGGGGCGCTGTGAAGCCTGGACAAACCCGCTGCTGTCATCTATAGAACGAGCAGACGTAGGGCAACCATCTGTCCCAGTTTCCCTGGGGATGTCTGGCCCGTGCTGTCGGCCCTGGTTAATTAACTTTTTTGGGGGGGAGGTGCCAGGAATCGAACTCAGGACCTTACACTTGCCAGGCAGGCGCTTCTGCCACTGAGCTACACCCCTGACTCCTGGCCCTGATTAATTAAGAGCACCTCCTCCACCTCGTATCTCTGCCCACCGGTGAGTCCATGATCGCCCCCTCCCGCAGGTGGGCCATCTCACCCCCACAGGACACACTGACTCAGCCTGGATGGGCCCCCATCCTGCCGACAAGGCTCCAGTCCACGCGGCTGGGTCTGTCTTGTCGAGCCTGCGTGAGCAGGGAATGACCTTCCACATGTTCTAAGATGTACTCTTCAACCACGGGAAAGAAGGAGCACCAGCAATCACACATTACGTTTTCATTCTGCCTAACAGAGGCCAACAGCGTAGTTCACTGCTCGGGTCTCTGCTGAGCTAACTGCTGGTACTGGCTACTGTTCAGCAAATAGGCCACGCACGGCTGGCGTGCTGCCTCCTACCTGGGGTGTATCTGGCGTCAGAACTCCCCCATCCCCCACCTCCACGAAGGGGAGAGTTATCCCACGGAGACAAGGGCGGCTTCTGACCGGTCAGCCCCGGAGGCGGGCGGGACGGAGCAGTGATGCTTTTAGGTGGCAGAGGGACCTTCCACAGCTCGTGAGCCAGAGAGGTGTTTGTAGCTGAACCAGGGGACCACGTCAACTTGGAATCACTATTTCTGGCTGCTCCAGGGAAGAAGACAATGGACGGAGTGGAATAACGTTTAAGAAAAGAGAAAAGCCACTTAATAACATGCATCATCCCATGAAAAGCGTATCAAAGAGAAGAAATTCTTAACAAATCCCACATCAAACTGCTGAAGAAGAGAAAGAGAAGCCTGAAGGAAACCGTCCCTTTCCCTCGCACCAGCTGCCAGGCACAGGAGGCGCTCAGGCCGGGTACCAACCACGCGGCGGGCCAGACCGGCCCGGCGGCTTCTCCTGGGGACAGGGGAGCGCAGCAGCTCAGGGCGAGTCACAGCGACGTGACACTGATAACTCGCGTGACCTGACCATCTCTGCAGCAATTCAAAATTCTCGTTTATCTTACAAAGTATCGCAGCTACGAAGGGCTGGGAATTATAAAAGGTACTTTCCTAAGACAGCAGAGGCCTGCTCGAGATGGAATTCTGTAACCTCCAGGCTGAGCGGACTCTCAGCCCAGGGCAAGTGGTGTGCCGCGGAAGCTACCCTGCTGAGCGACCAGGTCACGGACAGGGTCCCCCGCCCCCGGGAGGACGAAGGCAGGGAGAGGCCAGGCCTGGCCGCGCCGCCCGCAGCCCACCTGAAGTGCTTTGTGCTGTGCTGCTGAGGGGAGCGCTGTAGTTGGAGGCACGAATGGATGACCAGGCACTAGTTGAAGGCAGCGTGGTGTTCAAGGATGAGGATGACCCTGCGCGGAGAGAGCGGTCAGCCTCCAGGGCAGGACGTGCGGCAGCAGCGCCAGACTGCAGCTGTCAGCGCGGGCCTGAGCGCTCACACCGAGCCACCGGCCAGTGACTTCCCCGCGGCCCAGGACAGCCTCCCCTCCGGCCTCTCGGGCTGCGAGGCCGCATCACTGTCCCCCGCGGCGCTGGGCCCCACAGGGAGGCTCTGGCTGCTACTCGCCCGGGCCCCTGACCCCAGCGCCTCCTCACCGCTACGCCGGGCCACCAGCAGGCCGTCATCACGCTGCCCGTGAGCTGCGCCTCAAGCTCCCCAGCACACCCACGCTCAGGCTCCACGGCCACCTTGTGCTGGACGGCGGCTCCTCCTCCTGGTGTTCGGCTGTGGACCTGGCAGCTGGCCGCGCCCCCCGCCTGCTTTCCCACGCCAACCCGCTCTGTTTACCATCCGGACTTCCACCCTTCAACCCCGACCTGCCCGCTCAGCGCTGTCAGCGGGGCGCCTCCTCAAGCAGCAGATCTACTCTGTCCTGACTTCCAGCCCGGTTTTCTAGGCCACTGGGCTCTTCTCGGAAATTCTTCCCCATGAGGTTTTCTGCTTGGCTTTGCACCCCATTATTTTCAACGGAAGTAGGGCTTTTAACCACTTCTACCCCACGGTCCGAGAGACTCCGCGACTTCAGAAGGGTGAGGACCACCTCCCCACCACTGTGATGGGACAGACACCTCCCTCTTAACGAGTTTTATCTTTAATGCAAAACTATGACTCGTTTTTCTTATAAAACTATGTAGAGAGATCGCTGGAAGTTTTTTAAAAATAGAAGCAAAATGTTTTTCAGCATTTTTGATATATCAATTCATTTCAATCACCTTTCTTAGAGTGCAAAAGCAGACAGGAAACTAAATGTCTGTACTGAGAAATAACCACGCGGGAGGGAGCAGGGTATTTCATCGGGAACCCGCCTGGAAGTGCGTCTGGGCCGCAGCGGTGGAGAGGCACGCTGGTCTTGCTTTGCTCTGAGCGCCACACCCAGCCTCGCCTCTTCTCCAGAATGCACACAACCCGCGGCTGCCCACACAATTACCGAGCAGCGAACGTTCACTGGGCCTTGGTCTTACTAAACACCAAGTCCAGTGCTACAGAAGTCTCATTACTTTCAAAGCAGCCGTCATCACTGAGGGGAAGAGAGTCCTGTTTCATGGCCGTGACCCCCAGGGGGCTGGCTGCTACGAGGTGCTGGAGGGAGTTTTGCTGCTGGAAGCCCCACACCCACGCTGAGCTGCCGTCCTTGAAACACGCGGAGTGCGGCTCGGCGACTCACGTCCCCTACGTACCACTGTTCCTGTCCCTGAGGTGGTCGACTTCCCGCACAGTATTAATTGAAAGATTGTTTATGACACTGCCAGGAGTGACGTAAGGGTCAGTTTCGGGGTCAATGTTTGGATAACCTTTCCATGGTTCACCAGGGCGAAATTCTGCAAGTGGAAACTTAAAATTAGTTCAAAGCTTAATCATCACTTTAAAATCCACTATTATATATCCAAAATTTTTATTCCTAAATGCTATGCAGTTCTCATATATATCCCAACTTACGCTAACACCCTAAAAGACCGACTTGTTAATACAATTAGCATAAAGTAAGCTCTTCTCTGTGAGTAGCCTGCAAGTTCTTACAGCCCAAGTCCTTTCCCCGGGCACACAGGCTTACGCAGTAACATGATGAAGTGCCTCGTACCACTCTAACCACACGGCCAGAGGAGCTCGGGCGCGACAACGCAGGCCAGCGCCGCACTTCTAGCTCCTCAGAATCCCTGCAAGCACGGCCACCCGCCGACTCGGCCGAGAAGGAGCAACTCGTCAGGGCTTCTCAGAGACTCTTCCTGCGCCCGTGGCGCGTGTCCCACCCTCACTGCCTGCAGAGCGGCCCTGAGAGCGCAGACCAACTCGCTCAGCCTTCCCGCCCCACCCCTCCACGCCCGGCCATCAGCCCAGCCACGCTGGGTGCAAGGAAGCCTTCACAGAGACAGCCCCATCGACGGTGCCGGCAGCTTACCTGGTGGCCAATTAACACTGCTAGAGCCATTAGGCGATTTGGCACGTGGCCAGCCGTCTCCTATTGAGCCTGGAGGACTGGCTGGTGAAGTACTGCTGTTCACAAAGTCATAGGGAACAAATGGAGATTCTTCCAGCCTGAAACCACTTGAAATAGCACCTGAGAAGACAGAGACGGGAGTGTCGGACGAGTGAAGCACGCTAGCATGCGGATCTACGTACAGCCGACACGCTGAGGGCGGTCACGCAGACGCAGGCGACACGCTGTCTACGACCGTGTGCCGTGTCGGAGACCGTGCGCTCGGCCTGCACTTGAACTCTCCACCACCTGCAGATTCTAACCTTTTATCTGAGGAGTGTCTGAAAATGACCGCGGTGCGTTTCACTTCAAGGACCCGGGGACCACAGCTTGGTCAGTACGGTGACTTCCGGGCAGGCTCTGGCTGTGCCCGGGCTGTGCCCCCGGCCCCGTGCAGTTATTCCCAGTCGCACACAACTGCACTCTAGCGGACCGTGTGAGCCTCCCGCGCTGACCGACTGTGCCTTGGGAGCACTTCGGCCTATCGGCTCACCGTTTTGGAGCAGAACGGGGACAGAGATGGAAGATGTGACAGAGAAGAGTGTGGTGGGAACACTGAGTGACGAAGAGGCTTCCTCCAACAGCCCCGGAAACTTCGGCCTATGAGGGGGTGACACGCAGTGCAGAGAGACTGATATCCTTTGCTATCCAGGACGGGCACGGACGCGGGTGTGGAACCCATGCAAACGCAGCCTCGCGGCTCGTTCTCTTGGGATGGACTGGCCATATCCATCTCTAAGCACAGCTGGAAATGACTACTGTGAATTTCTGAAAGTCACGTAGGGCACAAGCTTCCCCCGACTTGCCCCGTACCTACTACAGGACCTATTACACTGTGCAGAGGGTGTTCGTTTAATTTGCTAACGAGCTCCTTCAGGACAAATGCTTTTGTTCTTTATTTTGGTGCTGGGAATCGAACCCTCGGCCTCAGGCTTGCCAGGCAGACACTGCCACTGAGCTACAGCCCCAGCCCCAGGACAAGTATTTTTAGACACACACACAGTCTCACACGCTCCACAGTGAGTGTGTGTGTGTGTATACAGGCACACATGTGTACCTATTCCAGTTGCCTCCCACAGTCCTTGCAAATCAGAAGATATTCCAGTAACATATGTGGAATGAATGGGCGTTAAATAAGATGACGGTGACATTTCTAAGAGAAATGTAAGTGCTGAGAAAAGTGATAGCAAGTCTGTATGACTTGTAATAGCAACAGTATATAACAGAAATATATCAGTACAGAGTAAGTATTAGTTTTTAACACCAAACTATGAATATACCCAGTTACATCCAATAAATGTTAAAAAAAAACAAAATCATTTGGAAAAGCTCAAATGACCATCAAAAGGGGAATAATCTTAAAAGTGGATCATCTGATCACTTTGTGAAACACAATGAAATTTTACTAGGCCTTAATAAGCTTCCCTCCCCTCCACTTTTTCTGCAGTACTGGGGATCAAGCTGCATCTCCAGCCCTTTTTATTCTTTATTTTTGAGACAGGTCTGGGTAAGCTGCCCAGGCAGGACGTCAGCTTGTGATCCTCCTGCTTGTGCCTCCCAGAATGCTGGGGTCACCAGTGTGTCACCAGTGTGAGCCACTGTCCACAGCTCAAGGCATTTTTCTTTTCAGTTTTAAAGAAAGGTTTGCTGCACGAGGCACATGTTTAAAGTGAGGAAAGGTCTAAGCACCCTGGCTCTGACATACTCATGTAAAACAACACGAAGGCCCAAATTTACTGTTCTGCAACCTTCGAACTTCTAGTGGGAAAGGTACGAAGAGACTCTGTACCATGTTTGCTGGAGTTCTGATCCAAAGACGTGCTCACAGAAATGCTGTCCACTGTAGTCCACTTCCTCAGTCTCGACTGTGGCTCTTTAATACTGTTCATGTCCATATTTACATTCAAGTTTGAGTTCAAGCCTTAACAAAACAAAACAGAAACTAAAAAATCTTATAAAATACAGCACATTTTTCTCCTGGTACACTATGTCTACTTTCTAGAGAAACACACATAACTGATCTCATATTCTCAGTCCTGCTTCATGTCTCTTAACAAAGATCAGGCTGCAAATGTGGCATCCAAGTAACAAGGCGGAGCACACACGCTGGCACCGGACCGAGGTAACGCGGCAACAGGGAGACCGGCACCCACGGACGCCGGGTCGTTACTCAGCACGCCACGGCTTCCACACCGCAGGAGGACCGTGCTGTAATTACATGTATAAAACGATCTCTTCAGATACTTTGATTAAACTCTTGGCAAAATGAGAGGAAAAAGTTTTAAGGGGGCCAAATTATGAAGCTTCTAAGTTTAACCTAATGTATCTAATTCAGCTACTTTCCAGGAGTACCATGCACAAAGTCTGCTTGCGAACTGATGAATTTTTAATTGGCCAACTGGTGAAAGGATGCTGCCATTTAAAAGTAAGAAAACGCCCTCCTCCTCGGCGGTGCCGGTGGTGGGCGCCTGTAACCTCAGTACCTCGGCACTCCGGGAGGCTGAGGCTGAGACATTTAGGCCCCGCCTGGGGACCTTCGTAACTCAGGCCCTATCACGAGATTTTGAAAAATGGCCGAGAATACAGCTGCGGAAAAGACCCGGGGTTCCGGTTCCCAGCATGGGGAGGGCGGGGGTCACCTAATAGTGGACTCTCCTTGCTAAGGCACAATTTGCTGGAACCCTGCAGAGGCAAGCGCAAGTCAGACAGTCTCTTGGAACAAGGACAGAAACTTCAGACTCAGACACTGTGGGGTCACGAGCATTTCACAGCACGGGCCAAGAACCATCAAGATCAGCATCTCCCAAAACGCCTGTCAGAAACGGAAGACTTGGCCACGCATGGTTTGCACACTCGCAGTCTGAGGGCTCAGGGGCTGAGGCAGGAGGACCACCCTGAGTGGAGGCCAGCCTGAGCTACACCGTGAGTTCACGGACAGCCTAAACGTAGAGAACCCGTCTTAAGGACCACCAGCATACACTGCCACGCAAAGGCGCCTTCCAGGGCAAATCAAAGTCTTTCACACACGCCCAAGGGATTCTCACTCTGAAGTTCCACATTAACTGACTCTGAATTCTTTGGTCTGATGAGAGACTCTGTGACACTGCTCTGCCAAACTTAAAACATTTTGTAACATGCATTCTCTAAAATCATCCCCATCTTTGCAAGAGCGTCAGATGTGTGGTCGTATGGCCAGGGATTACCCCGAGGACTGGCCAACTTCTCTAAAAAGGTTCAGACGATCTCCTAGCTTTCATGCCTCCTTCTGTCCGCATGCAGCTCGGCTACTGTCGGCCAGGAGCAGCCTCAGGTACTGTTAAAGGGCGTGACTGTGTGCCAGTAACGTTTTACTCACAAAGCCAGGCAACAGGTTGGAGTTGGCCAGCAGGCCGCAGCAACCTGTTCTAGACAACCGCACTGGTGTGTTGGGTTAGACAGACCTTCTCAGTCAGGAAGACGTCAGCCGGAAGAGGAAGTCCTGAGTTCGGAACTTGTCTCTTCCCTGGCCCATCTTTTTTTTTGGTTTTTCTCCAGTACCGGGAACCAAACTCACGACCTTGCGCTTACCAGGCAGGCGCTTTTGCCGCTGAGCTAAATCCCCAGCCCGCCCTGGCCCATCTTACGCGCCAACAGCGTAGGCAGATGTTAAGGGGCGGCTGCCCTCGGCACGCTTCCGGGAACCTGGACGTTCTTTACCACCGTGCCGCCGTCTATGGGGTCACCAGGTGAGCGCCACAGGCAGTGCACAGCAGCCAGGCACTGCGCCCTGGACAAGGCATGTGCTCCTGGAAGGGTCCCGAGGGCTCACGTCCAATGCGTGCCCTCGCTAGGAGTCCATGGCCACGCCACACAGAGCCTAACCACATCGTCTGGCCCAGATGCACCAGCAGCAGGGGCAACAGCAGGCCCCACCTTCTGTCCACAGCTCAGACAGCACGTAAGCTGAGCTTCCGGAGGACCGGAGTAGCAACCAACCAAGCTGGCTTAGGAAAAATTGTCCGGGTAAAAGGAGAGACACACAGCAAAACGAACAGGGGCCAAAATATAATCAAGGCACTCGGAGGCCGCGGAAGGAGAGAACACCTGACACTTACAGAGCGAGGAAAGCCGAAGGGGAAGCTTCTGTGCGCAGGACCAAGGCAACCCCTCCCCACTCGCGTTCTTACTCACACCAGCGCTCCGCCGTAAGCCGCAGGCCCTGACCCTAGCGCCACGACGTAACCACTCCCAGCTGTATTCCCAAAGCAACACTATGCAAATTCTCTAGTGCAGCTTCTGCTGCTTTGTCAGTACCGGGAATTGAACTCATAACCTTGTGCTTGGCAGGCAGGCGCTCTGCTGCTGAGCTCTATCCCCGGCCCTCTGGGGCCCTGTCTCTGGTAACAGTATTTTCAGATTTCCCTTCCCTTCCTATCTGACAGCTAAGATTATCAAGGTGTCAAAAAAAAAATGGCTCCTCTATTCTAACCCACTTTAACGAGGGTGGAACTTTTGAGACAGCGAGCTTTCCCTGAAACACGAAGGCAGCCGTGCCTGTGAGAGGGTGCGGCGGTGCCCCGTGCGGGCACAGCTCACGCAGGAAGAGAACGAGGGGGTGGGGAGCAGGCGGGGGTGTGGCGCCCTGGCCCCAGCTCAGAGTGGCCCGGGGAAGCGCACCTATAGGAAAGTTGCTGAAAGCGCTTATTGGCGACGGCCCTTTCTGCAGCTCCGGCGCGGTGTGGGGCAGGACGTTGTCGAGGAAGGACTTCACGGCTGGCTGATGGAGCGACTGCTGCTGAGACGGGGGAGTCTGCTGCTTCACCAGCAGGTTGGGATCAAGTTGACGAGACTGCTGCATCATTTGCTGCTGCACACTGAGAGGTCGACCCTTAAAACAACCAAATGGGAGAGCGTCGGGGAAAAGCCTTTGTGGACACCTACACGTTCCTCACTTTAAAATTCACTTGCTTCTCAAAGGGAAGGTGAACAATCACAGCATGAGAGTCAATACGACTCGGGGACCGAGGGCAGACTTGGGAACATGCTTCGCTGTATTTGATGGCATTTCTGTATCGTTACTGTTACAGTAAAGGCAACGGTCCGAGTCGGGGTCAGGGGAGCACAGCTCAGCACCGCCGAGGAAAGGACGCGAGCTACCTGCTGGTCTTGCTGCTGCCGGTTACCAGAAGGCACGCTTCTCTGACTCTGCGCCCTTTGCTGCTGCACTAACAATCGCTGGGGAGAGATGGCAAAAAGGCCGTTAGGCTGACACTCGCGCACACAGGCACGCTTCAAACAACTACGGCCACTGCACCCACAGAGCCACTGCTCCGCTACCCGAGCTGACGGGCCCCGCCTCACCCGCTAACCACTTCCTTGGACTCCGGCTTCCCGCCCTTCTGCAGAACTCTGAAGTCTTTGGTTCAACCTCAACTTTCAGCTCAACGGGAAAGCACCTCACACCAGTGCTCCAGACAGGCTGGGCCGCGTCGCAGAGCACCCCGTGCGTCTGGGAACACTTCCCCCTAGTGCTCGCTGCTGCCGGCAGACCATACGCTGCGCTCGGGCGGGACTGCGCCTGCCTCGCCTCCGCAGCACTCCCTGCGCAAAGCCTGGCTGCTTGGCGGCACCGAGCAGAAATGAACGTCTTACCTGTAACTGGGAGATCTGAGTGAGCTGGTTTAGTTGGGATAGCTGGTTCAGCATGGCTACCTGTTGAGGGCCAAAGAGCGGATTCAGGCCACCGTTGTTGGGTGCATACTTCAGCAATGACACTGGAACCTTAGGATCACAACGGTAAGTTAATAGTGCTGGTAAGGTAACTCAGACCAGCTCAATGTACTCTGTGTCTTACCACCAGCACTTAAGTTAGTGGACTGCTCACTGGAGGGCTATGGTCTGGGTGTCTGTCTCACTATTACTCAGATACTTCTAAAGGATGACAGAGTTGACCCTTAAGCTAGCCAATTTCAGTTTGTTGTTCTCCCAAGATGTTGGTATTAGGAAAAAAAAGAACATTAAAAACTTTTTTAAAAATGTTTTTGTTTTTGTTTTTCTTCCGGTACCAGGAATCGAACTCATGACCTTGCGCTTGCCAGGCAGGCGCTTTGCTGCTGAGCTAAATCCCCAGCCCCATTAAAAACTAACTACCTCCTTTTCTGCATCTTTCCCACACAGTTCTGTGCAAACAGCTACTCAGAACTTGCTGCACTGCACGGGTGCTTTACTGTCACCCCTTCACCCATGAAATGACGCCAGGCTCCTCTCCGGGCAGGCAGAAGGAGTGCAGTGCAAGGCATTTACCTGAGGGGAGAGTAATGGGGGAGGCACTTGAGCACGGAGATTAGGCTGAGATGAGCTGAGAGGTTGTGCTGGAGGCTGCTGCATGCCCCGGGGTTGTGCTGCTGTGTTTCCAACACCAAACACACTGGGATTGCCATTCTGCGAGAACAAAACAGGGACAGACGGCTCACTACCCTCTGCCACTACTGACCTAACACAGTAACTACATGTAAGAGAGATCGTATTACTAATACAAATTATTCAACAGAGAGCCTAAAACACGCATCTGCACTTACCTGTCTAACAGAATTCAAGTTTTGCATACCCAGCCCTGCTATGGAGCCAAGGGCCTGGTTAGGTAGTGCACTATTTGAAGGGGGAAGCTTCATGCTTTGACTGGACATAAACTGCATGTTTTGGGATTCATCTGCTACAATGCCATCCTGATTGGACAGACAGAAAGATGTGCAACACCAGCCAAGCAAACAAGTGGAAGGGAGAAATCATTGCAGGAACAGAAGAGAAGTCACATGACATTCCAGCATCAACAGGAAACAGGCAGAAAACAGAAGAGATCAGATTAGTGTTAATTCTGGAGTACAAAAAGAGCCAAACATTCTACGGGATTAAGAAGAACATATACAGCAAGTCCTATGCTGAACTGAGACACACGGGGGCAATGAGCTACGAACCCACTGACAGGCTCGGGCACTGGGTTCTAACTTTTATATTACATATGATGTTCTAAAATGTTAACATGAAAATTTACACTGCCCAGTTTATAATTACAGAGATAAAAGAAAGCAACAACAAAAATCTTACCTTATCAAAATAAGGATTGCGTTCCATGGAAGACTCTTTGGAAATCTGAGGCCGAGGACCCGGGCCTTTCCCGACCGTTCGATTGTAATCACCAATACTTAGGCTATGCTTATCTATCTCCATTCGTTTGTCTTGTAACATTCCTAACAAATGCAGGAGACTGTATTATCCACAGGAAGACAACCTACGTGATCTTAGATAAATTTACGAGAGAAAGCAAAGGAATCACTTTCTGAACTGACTTCTGCCTTGAAAAGGATATGCGAAAAACGTATTGGCATTTCACACATCCTGCATTCCTCACAGGTGAAGCTGGATTTCAGCAGATCTGTTATTTACAAACGAATTAACTTGAAAACAGACTAGTGAACAGAAGGTCGCTAATTAACCTTATTTGAAAAACCAACGTAATATAAGAAATCTTCAGTCACTTCCACTCTGCTTAACTTTACAATAATAAAAGTTCCATTAAGAATAAAAGTAACAATAAAAGGCCCGCTTCGACAATCCACCCGTCAGTGTACTGTGCCATGCACGCTCTAAGGGCTTTACACAGAAAGCCCGTCAAAAAATGCACACACCAGAAAAGGAAAAACTTCTCTAAGGATTTTAATACTAAGTGCACTGAGACATCCTGAGACCAATGCAAGTTGCTTCTGGCCTCCAGCATTACAAGAGGCACTCAGAGTGGGAGCACCAGCTTCCAGACATTTACTAGTATGGCGAACTGCTAGAGTGTATACATTTTTGGGCGGACTCTGCATATTAATTCTTGCAGTTGCAGTCCTTGCTATTCTCACTTCTATTCAGCAGACGGCAGAGCTGGAGAGCAGGCCAGGCAGTCTTTCCTTCCTTAGGGCCTTCTCCATCCATTACTCTTCCCATTCTGGCTGTTCTGCAATCTCATGGGAGCTTCCTGCAGAACTGTCTTTGTTGGATACAGGCAGCCCCTAAGTTACCACATTATCTCCGTCAGTCATTTAGAGGTGAGTAAGCTTTTGCCTCCTCTCCGGAGGAGCCCCGGCCGGGCTGGCCTTCCTGCACACCTGGGCCCGACGCTTGGGATTCGGAGTGTTCGTCTGTATCAGAGCTCACCCGGTAACCTCCGTTCTCAGGCACTGTGATTCTCCATAAACCTCCTTCCCAAGACTCCACCATCAAGGTGTCGAGGGTGACCGCCCCGTGCAAGTGTCTCACTCCGCGTCTGTCTCGGCCTTTGCAGTGCAGGGCCCCACTCACTTCTGACGCACTGTCCTCTCCCTGCGCTGCTCCACGCTTCCTCACCCTTCAAATCTTACCGGCCCTCATCTCTTCGTACTTGCCGTTTGTTGTCTGCCACTATCAAAACACCCTCTTTCCAGTGAGGGGAAAAGAAAACTTAACAGAAAGAAATTCCTAAAATAGGGACATTTCAAAAATGCCACTTGTTTTTGGAGCACTGTTCCGGCTATGAGTCAGGGATCTGAACAATTTGACTTTCAACACGTTTTTGGTATCGGGAATCGAACTCAGGACCTCACACTTGCCAGGCAGGTGCAGCACCGCTGATGTCCCTGGCCCTGACTTTCCGCACGTCTCGGAGCCTCCGCTTGGCCGTAGGTAATCTTACACAAGCGCCCGCTGTCCTCCCTGCCCTGCCAACAGCACCAGCGCTTATTCACACACCGAAGCCAGTGACCCGGAGCTCTCCACCCCTCGGCATCTAATCCCGCTGCCAGAGCCCGGCAGCCAGCTCCCCAGCTCCCCGAGCTGTTCCCTCCTCGTAACCCGCGACCTTTCCTGGACAAGCAGTTAAGAGTAGCGTCCCGTCGCCTCCACAAACCACCACTTCTACAGCCCCTTACCATAAACAGCCCAATGCACAGCTCTCCCGACTTCCTCAGCCCTCGCTAACAAGGCTCTTTAGATACCGGTGACGGACAGCAGATCCACTGGAAAACCCAGGGCTTGACAACTATCCCCTTCTTCTCAAAACTCCACACTTACCCGGCCTCTGACTCTCTTACCCTGCTTCTCTCAAGGTCACCTGTCACATGCCACCACTCCTCCTCCGTCTTAGGTCCACTGCTCTGTAATTCTTGCGGGCCCATCTATGTTTACGGCTTTCTATTAGCACGGTCTAACTACATTTGTTGTCTCCAACCCTGTCAGTTCTGAGCACAGCATCTAGATTTCCTACTGTTCAATGAATGCCCCTACCAGATTCTCGTAACAACTTCAAAACAGCACTTTATTAAACCTACCGTGTCTACTATATTCTTACCTTCAATAACGTTCAGTTATTTATTGTCTCTCAGGTTCAATTCACCCTTTCTGGCTGCTCTACAAAAATGTAACTGGACTCTGCCGCTCTTCCTTCGCCAGCTGGCGTGGAGGTGTGGCCAATGGAGGTGCCGGTGAGACAGTGTAGCAAGGAGCCTGGCTCTGTGCACGGCTCACCTGGCCCCTCTGACCACGGGTTCCGCCTCGTCAGACCTGACTGGCCAGCGGCACTCCTGACCCGTCACTCCCAGCACACGCACATCCCCGCAAGCCATTCTGCGGCAGCATCTGCTGGATACCCCGCCTTGGACAGCTTTCCAGCACCTTGGAGGGTGGAGTTCTTTTTTTTTTTTTTTACATTAGATTTTATTGGCACTTTTTAAAAATCTTTTTGAAACAATGTCTCGCTCTGCAGTTCAGGCTGGCCTTGAGCTCACTTTGTAGTCCAGGCTGGTCTCGAACTCATGGTGATCCTCCTGCCTCAGCCTCCCGAGTGCTGGGATTACAGGCATGCGCCACCACGCCCGGTTTTGGTACATTTTAGATATACGTAACGATCACATTCATCATAGAGGATTTGTACCGAAGGCATGGGTGGAGGCGGCACCCTGCAAGGGTGGGCGTGGGTCTCACGGGACAGTGTGTGTCTCCCCCTTACCAGCACTTGTAGCTCCAGGAACGAAAGGTGGACGTGGGCGTGGCTTCTCTCACAGCTGTACCCACGGTCACTCACAGAACTCTGGCTTCCTGTTCTGACGGCTCTGCTGGTTTACCGAGCAGAGTTCTTGAGAGGGAAAATGTTTCCGCCAATGACATGACGGTGGGTCTGAGCATGGAAACGGGGACTGCCACTTACGACCACAAAAAAGGGTGGCTGGCCTACTGGCTGGAGTGAACGACTGAATAAAGAGAAACTGGTGTTCTGGTACAGAACGAGGGCAGGGAAGATTCTTAGCACTTCTCTGCCTAGCAGTAAAGATTCAGGAAGTCAGCATTCTCGCTTCTCCTGCAGGAAAGCAGGCAGAAGCGGAGCTGCCGCTCTGCGTGGAGTGGAGCTTAATCGCGGGTCCGGACAATGAGCAGTGAGGGCTGGCCGAGGAAAACTGCACGGACACTGCCTGCCTCAGTTCCAAATCTATCCCTTCCGGCTGCTCTGTTAAAGCGGGAGGCCTGAGCCCCTCACCAGTTTTTTCCTTTGCTGACTGGCACCAAGCACTCGTCAGCAGAGGGCAGAGAAGAGACACTGCAAGATAAAGGCCCGGCTCCCGAGTTCTGACACGCCCCACTGTGGCGCAGGCAGCTTTCCCAGCACCCGGCTCCTGCATCGCTCAGCTCACCAGGACAGCCAACAAGCGCCCTCCGGAAGGCGTGCGGCGCAGGCCTCCAGGGAGACGCGTCCCCGGAGCGGCCTTCCCTGCTCTCTGAGGGCTGACTCCTGCAGGTTCCGGGGTGGCTCCACGGGCATGCCGCGGGGCTCAGGGGCTGGGGGGCGCGAGGGCAGGGAGCTTGCCCTTCCTCAGTCCCCGCGCCAGGCTGAGGTTCGTGACTTCCGTCTGCTACTCGTATATTCTTTAGGGTCCTTTGGAGCCCCTCCCCGTGCTTAGCTCTTGGCCAGAGTTAGTAATTCTTCATAGCTGTGCTCCACTTTCCTTTGCTAATTACCCAGCTCCTCTCTCCTGAGGGCACTCGGACTAACACAGGCGCTCTCACGGCCTCGAAGCGTCCAGGTAAAGCACGAGCGCTCTCTCACCGCACCCTTTCTCAACCCTCTGTAACCCAATGGTCACAACGATCCACTTCTGGTGACTCTAATCCCACGTGCACACCAAATTGGAGTCTACCTACGCTCTTCGTTTGCAGCTTTGAAAATAATCCCAGGCGACTACTACAACGAATTTCTAACTGGTTTCGCAGGCTTCACTGTCAGAACCTCCCTCTTCTCCCAGGATCTTCACCTAAGTGAAGCACTGCCATCTGCCTCCCCCTCCTCCGCCTCCAGCCACCACTTCCGTGTTTTTTGTATCATTACATGGAGCTAGGCTGGGAATTGCTCCCGAGTAAATAAATAATGAAAAGATTCACATCTCCTTCCACTCTGCGGACACAGGCCACCAAGGCTTTGAAATGCCGTCTCTTGCCATTTCTCCAGTACGTCATATAGTTAGGTGTTTACACAAGTGGCTCTCTCAGCAAGACTAAACCCCGCACCTGGATAGTGCAGCCCCCACAGAAGCCCGAGGTCCTCACAGATGAGCGTCACAACCACCTGCGCTTAGCACGGTGACGCGCACTTGGAAGGAACATGAGCACATTTAACCAAAGCATTCTCACGTGCAGAAGAGAACTCGAGATCATGCATTTAGGAGTCAGGCAGCCTCGCCCCAGGTTGGGGCCGGGGTTCTTCTACTAAGATCACACTGTAGATGTGCTTATTCATCTGTCATAAATACAAACTCAAACGGACTTAATTTTCTCTCACCTCCAGAAAGGTCCATCTTATTGCTCTGTACATTTTCTTCTGGTGAGTCTCTCTGAATTAAGGAAAGTATCAACATTTTAGCACATCTTATCAATGGAAGTAAAGAATTTTTATTATCATTATCTGTGAAGTTCAAGCGGACCATAAAGGTTTTTTCCATTAGATTTTAATGCAAAATTCTATGAGTGCAAATTTTCACCATTAGAACTATAAAAACAAGGCCAATTTTACGCTATCTTTAATCATATTTTAAGGACTCGAAGAGTCACTTTTAAGAAGACAGAAACCATGAAATTGGAAGCACCGACACTGCTAAAGCAGAGACGGCGGCTAAGCCAACACTTACCGCAAAGCTGATACTTGAAAACTGTTTAACGAACGGGTTTACCCACGCCTCTTCTTGCTTGTTTCCACCTTTCACCATCCCCTTTGTAAAACAGAAGAGTAGAAAAGATGCCATGGCCATCTCTATTTATCTGGGTATAGTGATGGATTAACACAACTTTAAGACAATTCCCAACTCTCAATTTTAGCCAATGATTTCTCCTCCAACTCTCATCAGAGTTAAGAGTTAAAAAAATCAACTTTATTTGATTTTCAACTTCCTTTGCTCCAGTCCTCTGGTATGGCTGTGATGTACAGAGAAAGCCCTAAAGGCAAGCAGTCAGAAGGAACAGGCCGAAGCAAGGGTGCAGTGACCCACAAAGACAAAAATGGCCTCCGAGTAACTGGAGAAGCGCCTACTGGGAAGGTCCCAACTTACAAACGATTTCGTTACATCAGACTTCCTATAATTTGGATTTTTGGAATTCTCACACCAAAGTAAAAAAACAGTAGTTTAGGTTTTCGAGTTAGTCCAAAGAAACCAACTTAACCTATAATTTAATTACCTGCAGTATAGTGAAAAACCCCACGTGCTACCGCATGAAAAGCATGTACGATTTAGTTTGTGCTGCCCAGAACACCACCGCCCAGCAGCAGCCGGAGACGGAAGTCCTCCCCTCGGCACGGGCAGGCTGGGCGCTGGCGGCACCACACTGAGACCGCAGCTGAGGATGGCGGCCCGGCGGGCGGCGGCCCAGGAGGCTGGAACCAAGAGCCGCGCCCCGCACCCGGGAGGTCGCGGAGCCCTTCCCAGCCGGTGTGCGGCTTCACGTCCCACACCCACTGCGACAGGCTGTTCCTTCTGACTGTGAGACAGAACACAGCTCCACCATCGCCCGCTAGTGCGCGGCTCTGAAGCAAGCACCCAGCCCTCTCCCAGCCCTCTCCGAGGCTTCTGACGTCAGCTTAGGTCCTCCCCTTTCTCTCCCAGACCCCCCCGCCTAGCTGCCCCGCCGCCTCCCCTGCCCTGACTCGTCTGTTACCCCCCCATACACCCACTGCTGTTGCCCAGATCAAACCCTCCCGCAGCCCAGCTGAGCGGAAAGGCTCCCGGAGACCCCTAACTCGGGCCTGGCCTCTGCGCCGATTTGCCTTTCATTCTCTCACCGGGCCAGCGCTCTTTAAAAAATAATTTTAAAAAACTTCACTGACATTACCTTCTACTCCATGTCACTGGCTCCATGTTTTATAAAGAATAAAGTTCGAATTCTTTGGACTGACACTGAAAACGCTTCCATAACCTGCCCTTCATCTATGTAGAGAGCCAGATTTCCTGCCACTTCTTTCTAGAAATTCTGCGTCTCGGTAATGTCAGGCGACTCTCCCTAACCCGCCCCCAGGCAGCGTCCACAGCCAGCTGACGCACGCCTGAAGCCCTCCTCACGCCCCAGGTGCACCCTGCGCTTCCTGAAGCCGCAGCGCACACCATTAGCGCACGTGAATCCCCAGCACCAAGCACAGTACCTGGCACACCGCAGAAGCTAAATAAATGTTTGCAGTTGCTTTCTAAAGAATTTTACTAGTAGAAACAAAGGAGAAAGAGTAAAAAGGCTACACACCCTTTCCCTTCTCCTTTTTTTGCCACTCAGACCCTGTAAGGAAAGACAAAGTCACAAAACAGCACGGTCCAGTGGGAAGAACACGGGGTTTGGAACTGGAAGAGCTAAACTTCGTGAAGTCCTTGCTGTGCCCCTGACTAGCTACGCAGCTCTGGGCGGCACCACCTCCGCATCGCGTGCCCTCCGCACCTGTCTCTGGAGGTGGTGAGGAGCGAGGGACCCTGTGCAGGACGTGTAGCAGCACGCAGCAGCACGTCCTACGCTACATGGCAAGCAGTAGGCGGATTCGGCCACGTGAAACGTGGTCAGATGGAAATGGCAGGTCCTAGACTGAGTCCCAGAGCTAACAGGTGGGTCCCTGGCAGTCAGCTCACCCAGCTGCTCACCGGGCATCTGACTTCTAAGGTCCCTCGGGTGAGCGCCCCCACACAAGGTGGGGAAGCCACGCCAGCGTCACTTTGGGAGACAGGGCACGTCGTTCTTAAAGCCTTCCCCAGGAGAATCTGGCACCAGTTCCCACGCCAGCTCCCTAGAGCACGTGCTCAGACAGTGGTTCCTAACCCCGGCTCTGAGCCGGAGACATTCGGGGAGAGGCGTCAGTACAGGAAACCCGGCCCGATTTCCAAAACCTCAGAAGGACAGGGGTGCAGGAAACCACACTTCTAACACAGGACTCTGATGTAAAGCCAGGGCTGGGAATCCGTTTGCCCACACTGAAGAACGAAATCGAACTCTGTCCTTTCCTGGGTGTTTCTGTCACAGGACCTTTCGGGATGAGCGGGGATGACGGAGGAGTGAGAACAGCGACCCCGGGGGCGGGGAAGCGGGCACGCTGGGCGGGGAGTGGGGTGGGACACGAGCTGCGGTGCCCTCCTCCTCCCCTCCCCACTGCAGGCGCCAGCTGGGGGGTGGCTCCGGGCAGCACAGTGGAGGGAGACGAGGCGAGAAATCCCAAGCTGCAGCAGCGGGGAGAAGGGAAGTCCCTGTGCTCGGGTTTCCTAGGTGGCAGCCCATCCAAGAGGCTGTGCCCAGGTCGGGGACTGCCTGGCCTGCACTGACTGCCACCCACGGGCAGGCAGAACAAGTGCTCTGTGGGCCAACTACCTCTGGCATTGCAAGCTTCAAGGGCTCTGCCTTGACGTGTTTACCTTCGATGACATTTTCTTGGTGTATGGCGGCCAATTTAAAGACGAGTTGAGCTCTTGAGATGAGTTACTGTTCCACATTCCGATCTCCACGTCCTCCTCCTCTTCCCAGCCAGGGGGGCGGCTCCCAGGCAGTGGCATGTCGTCACCACACCAGCCATCTTGCATAGATTTTGGCCCTGATTGTGGGTTTGTGACACAAAGAGAAACAGACTCAATAAAGCAATTCTTTCCTGAAGATAAGCAAACATTAACGAGTGGGGAGAAGGGAACTGAACAAAACCACACTTTCTCTCTCTTCCCAAGGTTTCACGGCAGTTCCACTAACAGTAATTCACTGGTATTGAAAACTTCAATGCATCTCTCACGCTTTACAAACCAGAGTGTTTCTAAACCTGGACAACGGTGGCATTCACGTTTGTACCCACGTACAACGTGCATAGTGACACAGGACAGAGAAGATGGATGAAATTAAAAGCTACCCATTTTGATACATATTTTTAAGAGGAGTGGCCAAAGAGCATTTGAAGGTGTTTATCCACGCAGAGGGCTCTGGGACTCCTATAGGAGTCCCGGTCGTAACACGGGACCGGTGAAATGCTGACCTGAGCCTTGCGGTCCCTTCCGAACCTGGGAAACATTTGGACATACGTGCCGTGTTACGCTATTCCGTCACTTAGACCAGACAGCATGAGAACTAGCAGACTATTCCTTGATAGTCCAATCTCGTAAAATGAACTTGAATTTGCTCAAGGGTGTGTAACTCACTAATAGTTACAGTTCTAAGGACACTGCAGTGAAGAAAATTTGGAAAAAGAGCAAACCATGTTATACACGCGAAGAGACAAATACTGATCAGCACCTAACATGCCACCCATCTAGACAGCACTACCCACAACACAGAAACACCGCCCCGGTTCCCGCTGTAGTCAGCGCGTCCTCGCCACTATCACAGAGCAGCTCGCAGGGAGTGTGGCTGACTCACCAGACTTGCTCAGCACCTGCGGGCCGGCAGAGCTGGAGCCCCACGTGGACGTGCTGGATGCTGCAGCCAGGGGCTCGCCCCAGCTGGGGCCGCTGTCTGCGGGTTTACCCCACGCCGAGGTGCCGTTATCCACAGTGGTGGCTGGAGCGGAGGGCTCCCCCCAGGGCTCACCCCAGCCTTTAGGAAGTACGGGAAAAGAAGGCGTCAGCACAGCTGGTACGGAGGCACAGCGGCACAGGGACAGGAAGGACACGGAGGCCGCCACAGGTGCGGAGCGCACGTACTCCGCAGCGACCCTTCGAGAGGCAGGCGCTGCTGGTCTTGCCTCTCGTAAAGACGGACCCCTGTTCACGGAATGGAACTGTACGGCGCACTTTCTTCCCCTTCTTCTTTCACCACTGCCCTCTGCGCCTAGAACAAATTCTCTGGAGTAGCTTTAATTTTGGAAAACCCTCCTTCCGGAGGATGAGGGACGGGTCACGTCATTCTGAACCACGTCTAAGGCACTGAACACAGCAGGTGAGGGACCTGGGTTCAGAGTGTAAAAATCTGTACTATTAACTATCGTCTTCCCTGAAACCGTAACCTTTCCACGCCCTACAACAGCCACACGGCTGTCAATGGGTACGCGTACTGCTTTCGTATACACTGGATAGCCCTTAAAAACCTGAATGATTAGGCTTCAGTTGACAAAAGTTGAAAATGGGAATGTCCTAAACAGCTATTATCAAGTGTCTCATACATACACGCTGCTGAGTGGCAGGGTTTCATGCCTACTTAAAGAATCCCGGCTGGGAGGTATGGCTCACAAAGAGAGCGTAAGCCCAGCAAACGCAAGGTCCTGGGTCGGATCACAGCATGCTGGAGACGGGGTAAGCCTTCGAAGCCAAATACAGTAGCAGCTGTCTAGAAGACCACCGTTCTTAGGCACTTGTTTTACTTCTGAGGCATTTCAGTCAAGTACACCAGAACGGTAAGCGCTAACTCACAAACGAGAGCAGCACACACCAGCCCCACGGGACCCTACTTTTCCACTTCCGCCTTCTGTCGCACGCCTGAGAATGCAGTGCACAGGATTCACACACAGTACCGGCAGAGGTGAGACGATGCTACCTGGGAGAACGTGTCCCTGTAATTCTCCTTGCGCTTTTCTAGACTAGCACAAAAAGGCCCTGTGAGTACACCCAAGCGGTCTGTTAACACGGGACAGTGGCTGAAACCAAGCTTGTTTTCGGAAACCTGCGAGCGCTCTGCAAGGCCACGAGCCTCCCCCGAACAGAAGCTTACCCGAGCCGCCGCTGGCCTCCTTGTCTGCCATGGCACCTGCAGGCGGCAGCAGCTGGTGGACCTGTGCTTGCTGGTCTGCGCGGCTGCCGCCGTTGGGGACGTTTTTGTTCCACATGTTCACATTTTTGTAGTTGTATTTGCTCGGGTCTCCCCAGGCCGAGGTCCCGTCGTCGACCTCCATCTTGCGCCGTATGGACTCTGGGGACGGTTCCTCCCAGCCTGTGGGTTCTTCTTCTTTTGCCGGGGCTGGTATAGGTCCCCCCAGCCAGCCTGTACCGGGAGGTTTGCCTGTGGCTGCTGGGATTCCCCAAGACCCAACTATGTCTTGTTGCTTGTTCCAGTCTGGGGAGCTGACTGGCTTTGACGAATCTCCCCAACCTAGAGACTGATTAGACTTTGGAGGGTCCCCCCATCCCTGGGAAGGGTTAGGCTTAGAAGATTCATCCCATCCTGATGAGTTATTTGGATTTATGTTATTTCCCCAAGTAAATGAACTAGTTTTACCAAGTTCGTTCCAACCAGAAACGGACCTGTCGCTGTCACTACCTCCTGAGCTGGATTTCTTATTCGTCTCGCCCCAATGGTTACTCCTGGACGTGTCTCCCCAGCCGTCGCCGGCGGAGACGGACCAACCTTGGTTTGGTTTCTGTCCATCACCCCACCCCTGTTTGCTCTTTTGCGAGTCATTCCACGTGGACTTCTCCTCTTTGCAGTTCCCCCACTGATTGCTCTTGATCATTCCTGTAGCAGCAGCATCATCTTCCCACCCCCCCTGGCAGTTTGAGCCTTTGGAATCTCCCCACCTCAGAGCAGGTTTGGGATCGCCCCACCCCGATACAGATGAGGTATCATTATTACTAGGGCTAGTCTTATCTATACACGCCCCTGAGTTAAAAGTCTGTGTTGCAGAGCCTCCCCAGGCCTCTGTCCCATTGTCCGTCTTTCCTTCCTCTCGAGGTGATGTTTCCGTATCCCAGGCAGTATTCTGCTTAATAGGAGTCTGTCCCCAGCCCGAGTTGGACAGGACACGCGGATCTAAGTCCGTCCTGTTCACAATGCTTTGGAGGAACGTGTGCTGATCAACTTTTCTTCTGTCTCTACTCTGACTTTCCCCAGCTGCTTTCTCTTCCAGGCGTCCAGTGCTTTCCGTACTACCCTCGCTCTCCACGGCGCCCCCCGTTTTGGCCCACACGCTGTTCTGCTCGTTCGTCTGGGACGTGGCGGAACCCTGGTCCTCTTCCTCAGCAGACTTCCACCCATTTGTAAACTTCTTAGCGTTGCCATTTGCGCTGTCATTGGAATGCTGATTGCTGGGCAATTTGTTCCACTCCACGCTGGGTACATTAGTGCCAGTGTTTTGTGCAGGGGCCCCCCATCCTCTCCGACTTCCTCCGGAGTTCGCACCGTTCCCATTTCCCCATGAGGTACTCTGGGGATTCGCTGCCCCAGACTCCCATACGCCTCCTCCTTTACTCGTGTGAACTTGAAAGTTAGTGCCCACAGGCCCGTTCACGCCAGGCTGCATTAGAGTTGCATTCACAGTGTCACCATTAGCTTGGCCGCCGGGGCCTGAACATTTGTCTCCAGAGTAACTAGAACCATAGGCAGCCCATGTAGTACCGTAAGAGCCTCCGCTTTTTGACTCTCCGTTGCTAAGGTGAGAAAGGGAAGTGCCGTTCATAACTGACGGAGCCTGTATCTGAGGATGATTCATTGTGCTCAAGCGCCAGGCCCCTGTGTTACTACCAGGCAGTTCGCTGTTCTGTACTGAACCGGAGTTTGGTAAACTAGAGGTCATAAAGTTAGTAGTGTTATTTGGTCCAGACATTTCAGTGGCGATATTCTGAGGTTGACCACTGAATGAAACCTTCTGTGTACCACTCACTTCGGACTCACAGGTTTCCTGCAGGCTTCCCCAGGTCCCATGGGTAGAAGAACTACTCACTTTAGAGTTAATACTCTGATTGTTCGGCAGCTGGCCTATGGTACTGCAAGGAATATTGATGCCAGAACTGCCACTCCCTACGGGCCCTTTGAGGGCAAGTCCATTGTTGTCTAATACTGGCCAGGCACCATGGTTGCTAGCTGAATTCAAAGTGCTTGGATTTAACCCTCCATTTGATGAAGAACCTACAGTGCCCCAAGCATTCACGCGATTGTTGCTACTTTCTGATTTGCTCTCAGGAGCATCCACAGAAACCTGACATGTGCTTATTATGGCTCCGTGGGAGAAACCCCACGGCCCGGGACTACCTCCATGGCCTACGTTATTGCTGCTGCTACCAACCACAAACTTGTTCTGGGAACCCAGTCCGGCGCTACTCCGAAGGCTCTCTTTGTCACTCGCTGTGCTCCCTGAAGCCATGATGGTGATGTTTCTCTCCGACTCAGAACTGGAGGCGGAATCAGCATCCACACATTCTGACGCCAACTCCGGGTCACTGCCAGGGACGGAGGGCCATGCTTCTTTCTCCAACAGGTCGTCTACAGCAGCATTCCTACAGTCTGTGCGGGAGTCACTCGGAGGAGACACAGGTCCCTGCTGGGAACGCTCATAGTGGGGTCCTGAAGTACTGTGGTTTGTATCTAGAATAAAGAAGCAGTACAACTATTCAGTGTTAGTCGTTTTCAAAATTACGCTGAACAGTAGACTTGAACAGATAAACATACGTATGTACAATCTAACAAGATACACTATCTGGTAGGACGGTTACAAGGGCATTGATTATTTACTGTCAGCAACATTCCTTCTCTAGAATGTCAAAGAGGCAGACAGTTCTGCGAAATCCTACAACCCTAGAGCAGCGCTAGAATGTATCAGTCCCTCCATCTGCGTGTGTGGAACGGCTGGCTTGTTAACACAGCAGCGAGGAAAGGCACAAGCACGGTGGCCTCGGGAGGCCTGGGGAGGGGGATGCGGTGGACTCGGGAGGCCTGGGGAGGGGGATGCGGCGGCCTGGGGAGGGGGATGCGGGGGACTCGGGAGGCCTGGGGAGGGGGATGCGGTGGACTCGGGAGGCCTGGGGAGGGGGATGCGGCGGCCTCGGGAGGCCTGGGGAGGGGGATGCGGCGGCCTCGGGAAGCCTGGGGAGGGGGATGCGGTGGACTCGGGAGGCCTGGGGAGGAGTGTGTGTTAGGGCAAGGGAGCAGCCCGCGGGCTCGGATGGAAGAGGGGAGCGAGAAGGGCAAGGGTAAACAGCCCGAACTGGATGAAATGCGTTAGGAACGCAGAAGGATCTTTTCCCGTCCTATGTTCTGGAATAGCTTGACCACACAACTGTTTTTGGTATTATAACAAGTTTATAAGAATTCTAAAGCCTTCTCTGTGATATCCCCATTTCAGCAGTATCCATACTCAGCTAAAATGCTGCACATAAGCATGTTCTTAGCTTGCTGCTCATAAAACTTTCTTAATTTACCTTCATAGCCATGTTAATTGTAAGAGACAACAGAAAAACTGGTATGCTGAAAGATCACCGAAGTGTTACGATAACGAAGTCAGCCATACAGTAAAGACCATAAACAACCAGTCCCATAATCATATAATCTTAGACTTTCTGCTATATAATATGTATAATCTAGTTGTCTGACCACAGGTGGAGCAATTCCAGTGCCTCTGATGGTTCCCAGGTGTTTTATTCTCGTAGTGATCTGGCAGGTAGAAATTCCAGAGAGTAACTTGCTGAGATAAATGCATTCAGATCGTCTTAAGGGGGTTGCAGATACTGTAGTTCTCCACTAGATGAATCAGAAGCACATATAGTGCTTTAAACACACACATTCGAGCCATGCCCTAGACGTAAAAGAATGAACTCCAGATGCTATTAAAGGCCTACAAGATAAACCTAAGTCACTATCAGGGTGATTTTCTAACGCAAAAAAATCAGACTCCAGCTGCACCACTTCCTTTCAAAGAGCAACTGCTAAGAACTACAGGACAGTGAGCTCAAAAGGGTAGCAGGAAAAGGACTAAGAACAGGCGTGGCCTCACAAAATCTGTATTTTGAAGTTATACGGCGACTTGGGTCTCTCTGCCTGCTTCAGAATCATTTCATTAAGCTGTTAAATGCAGTGTGAGATCTTTCAATGCCTGTAAGAATCAGCTCAGGAAGTAAAGAGCCACAAAAAGTCTTGCAGGGTAAAAACCAGTCTCACACACACATGCGCCAGCGCTGTCTGCAGCACCAGCACACGGTCAGCACTCACTGTGAGCTTTATATACCCCTCATCACGAACCTTCGGAGAATCCCTGTAGCACAGGCTTTACCCTCACCGTGAAGACGATGAGACAGGTTCAGAGGTTCACTTGCGGAAATCAAGTGAGAAAGGCAAGCTCAGTCAGGCTCCTTCACAACACGGAGTGGCTAAAAATACACGGCTGGGACCCCAGAAACCCCTGAATTCAAGCCTGGACTCATGCAGTAGCTGTATGACCAACATCTGCAAAGCGGGATGCTGCTTACCCTAGCTGTTACTGTACTATCTGACGCAACGCGCTCAGCTCACGACTGCAGCAAACCAGTGCCCCAAGGGGGGCAGCCTGATACGACTGAAAGTGCAGACACTACTGCCTGACGACTTTCCAGTGTGCATTAGCTGGACAACCACAGACAGGGTTTCCAAGCTCTGTGCCAGAGCTTCCTCGCATGCAAAGTCGGAGCAGAAACAGCGCCAATTTTAGCCAGCAGCATTCCCACAGGGACAGGACACACAGGAAGAGTTGTCCGAATACCACTGCTATTCGGCCCAATACTCGAAGAGCACATCCACGCAACAGGACCCCCAGCTGAAAGGTAACAGACAATGGAGAGAAGCCAGGCCTGGTGGCAGAGTTCTGTAATCCCAACGCCTGGGACACTGGGGCAGGAGGATCACCATGAGTTTGAAGCCAGCCTGAACTACACAGCAAACTCCGGTTTGGAAAAAAAAAAAAGGGTAACAGAGGGAAGATAGATAACATGTAAACAATACTTTCTCTACACACTGGAATAACCAGTGAGAAAACACGATAGAAAAAAGATCCCGGTCGTCATGAGCCGTGAAAGGACTTAGAATCTAAGTAGAATACTTGAAGTCAGACTGAGAATATACTCAGTGGTACAATGATTGACTAGCATGCTCAAAGCCCTGGATTCGATACCCAGAACTGCAGCAAACCAACCAACCAAAGGCCGAAAGGAGTAAATTTTATTATAGGTCACAGAAGACAACTTGACTAAGTACACAAATTGGAGCCTGTAATCCCAACGTTTGGGAGGCTGAGGCAGGAGGATCGCCGAGTTTGAGGCCAGCCTGGGCTACATGGCCAGACCCTGTCTCACAAAACAAAACAAAACAAATCAAGGTACAGAAACTTGTTCCTAGAAGGGAGCACATAAAAATGTCCTACGTTTAATTCCACCCTAAGAAATTATTGATGTGAGACCACATGATTAAAACTGATTTTAACATTCAGGTAAAACATATGAGAGGATCATTCTCAAGAGGATCTGCACAAGAGCTTGAAAGGAAGGAGTCCACACTACCATGCACTACTTCAGCAGCACCGCACTGCGAGAGTACGCGAGCACGTCAATCCCGGAAATGGTAACTCACATCAAGATAGTATGTCAGAGGTTAACGTTTGAGGTCAGTGGGGGAAGAGGAACATTCAGTACTTGAACAGTATTTTTAAGAAAGTATATAAAAGATATCAAAGTAATAAAAGCAAAAGATAAAATCATGAGATATAACTGAAAAAATTTTTGTATATAAAAGTAACCACAGCCAGGTGTGGTGAAGCATGCCTGTAATCCCAGCACTCGGGAGGCTGAGGCAGGAGAATCATTGCGAGTTCGAGGCCAGCCTGGGCAACAAAGTGAGCTCAAGGCTAGCCTGAACTGCATAGTGAGACGCTGTCTCACAAAGACAAAATAGAGAAAAGTAACCACAAAAGAAATGACAGATCCTTTTTTTTTTTTTTTTGGTACCGGGAATCAAACTCAAGACCTCGGGCTTGCTAGCCTGGCACTGTCCTGCTGAGATATATCCCCGACCTTAGTTTTGTATTTTTTTTGTTTTTTGATTTTCTGGGTTTTTTAAAAATTTTTTTCAGGAAATGGGAATCGAACTCACAACGTTATGCTTGCCAGGCAGGTGCTGTGCCGCTGAGCTAAATCCCCAGCCCCCTTATTTTTGTTTTTAAATGATACTTTTTAATGTTAGAAGAAAGCAAAGTAAAAAAAAGCAAACACTGGAAAGCATTTTTCATTTTCAACTTTAATGTTATCAAAAAAAAAAAGGTCTCTGGCTATGCTCATGAACTGCTTTGGAAATGGTGGGGCTATCAAGGTCTGTCTTTTACCACACGGTCCTGTCTTTTAGGAAAATAAGGAGAGGCCTCATCAGTAATAAATTAGCTAAAGCTCCATTTTAAATCTGGAACCTACTTGAAACTTTCAACAACAGCTAGAGAATATTTAAAAAACTGGGTTTCCACAGAGAAATCATAGGTAGTTTGGGTTATGAGAAAGGTTACAGTTTAGGCAGAAAAATTAAATGGCATCGGGGGGAGCAGACATTAACTGAAAGAGGGAAAATAACACGATTCCTCAGGAATCACACCTAGAATGTTCCACAGTCGGGGTGATTTCAGAGGTGCAAGAAGTCAAACGGTATCTCCCCTTGCTGGAAGGCAGCCAAAGCTTACTGCTCTAAGTCACCTGGAGGGTCGCTATACAGAACATCGCCAGGTACGAGATTATCACTAATTCTCCCCCGTCGGCTTCCTTGCAAATGCAGTGTGCGTGTGCATGAAAGAAACAGGGCTGACGGGGACCCGAGCTGCTGCGGAGGGCGCAGTCAGGGCTACTGAGTGTGACGCGCGATCTGAACACCGACACACTGTAACGCTCCAGGTGGACACGGACGTGGAAGGCGGCCGTTACCCATGAACACCTGACACCCGAAATGTCCGCGGTGCCCCATTCTCACGCTCTGGCACCGCACCCAACGAGAACACGGGACTGCGCGGCAGGACACCTGTCCACAGAGATCGCGCAGCAGCACAGCGAAGGCTGGGCAGGTGCAAATGGCCGGCTGAGAGGCGGTATGCTCCGGAAGATCTCAGGCGGATGGAGAGTCATTTACACTTTTCTTACAGGCTATGCAGTATGTAACAAGCCATATAAATACTTGCTTTCTGACTTTAAACCTATGAGAAGAGCTTCAAAAGTAAGTATTACTTAGCGTTTTCAGTGTTGCCAAGGACTACGAGAGGCACCACAGGAAATATGAGAACCTCAGACGCACAGTTTAAATAGCTCTGAAGAAATTTCACAGTATCTTCTGTAATTATTCCAGGTTTTGGTCCCCAGTTGGCAAACCTCTGTAGTGGTCCGCATAATAAGTATCTCTGTGGATCAGAGGGTCTGTGGCAAGCACCACACTGGCAGTGCCGCCTGGAAGCAGCCCGACGGTCTCCACGTCCATGGGCACGGAGCCCTCCCCTGGTGCTGGATGGACACAGGAGGACCGGCTTCTGATGTAAGAAATGCGGGAGGGGAACACAGAGAAAGCGGCAGGAGACATTCTTTGGGGGACTGTCCAGACCCGATGGCAAGCACCTCAGCTACGGCTACTGACAGCACTACGGGAGAGGAAAACACAGCTACCTTGGAGTTAAAACGTCAGCACAGCAAGGTGACACGGTGGATTGAGACAGGAAGGCGGGAAGCGTCAAGCGTGGCCTGAGGATTCCAGGCTGGTTACTTCTCGAGCAAGGCGCTCCAGAAGGTGACAGCGGTACGGGGCAAGGTGACAACAGGCCGGGGCGCGGCTGAGCCCGAGAAGCCCGGCATGGGCTGGAGACCTCCAGCAGACACGGAGGCCCAAACTGAGGTGGGGAAGGTAAGGAAACACAGCCAAGGGAAGTGAGAAATGGGAGAGCGGAAAGGAAGTACTGGACTACAGGCGAGTGTGAGGAAAGCAAGACACCTGCCCGTGGCACACAGAGGCAAGAACCAAAAGAGCCTGAGAGAGCGGAAGTAAGGCCAGGGAGAGAAGAGATCTATTAAGACGGAACAGGCCATTTTTTGCACAATTAAAATTACTTTTAAAAAAGTCTGCACCTGGCATTCAGAAGATCAGTGTGAATAGGCGCTGGACCCCCAGGGACTGGAAACACAGACTTCCTTCACCGACTCTGAGAGCAGGGCAGCAGAGCAAGTCTGCAAGAGCCTCAAGGGACTTTTTTTCCCAAGAAGAGCAGACTGGAGTACTTCACAGATTACGGGACAGGTGCAAGCCAAGAGCTGGAAACACAAGCTACGAGATCGCAAAGACGACACGACGCTGAGGCTGAAGAGAGCGGTGCAGCGGCCAGGCGGGCAAACGGTGCCTTAGTCTTCAGTCTCCGCAACTTCACGGGAACACCTTCGGTTCAAGCGTTCCCAGTGACTGCTCACCACACCTCACAGACCCTCGAGCGTTTGCAAAGGACACGCCGAACACAGAAAGGCTACAAAGAGTGACACAAACATGCGCAACTACCCCACCTTTACAAATGCACTACTAGCGCAGCAGGCAGAAACTTTCCTGCATTCTTTCTGATTCACAGATCTTTTCTTTCCCAGAGGGTTACCCAGTGGTACTCCCTCATGTAAATGTCTTATCTCATCATATTCCAAATTCATCCCTAAATAATACATAATGTTGCTTCACATGCTTTATGCTTTATATACATGGGTCACATTGTGAACAAACAAACAGAAACTATTACCGGGATGGCTAGCAGAAATGTGAGCCTGAACCCTTGTGAGATACTGATGACAATATCATGGCTATACAGGAAACCATACTTAGGAAAATACCAAGGGAAGCATTGAAGATAAACTTATTGGGATGTTTACAACTTTCTTGCAAATGAAGTGTGTGTGTGTACATAAAAGAGATAGTGTATGGAAAATCAAAATTTAAAAA